AACCCGCGTTTTTATATTCAGTTCACAAATAAGTAGTAAAATACAGTATGTGTTATTGACAGCCTCAAAAAATAAAGAGCCTTTCATGCCTGCACCTCATTGAACACACCTGATAAGCAAGGCTGGATGTTTCTCCAAAAATTTTTGCTTTAGCTGTGCCAAATTGCCTGACTCCAAGGAATTCCTCTGCTGGTCTTGCATCGTCTGTTACCTCTAGTCTCCTATGTGGGATATTGCCATATTCCTGTAGCACTCAGGAGCCCAAGACCAGCTAAAGTAGCATCAGCAAGTCAGCTTTTCTTCCTCTTTGCATTGCCTACATAGCTCAGAGTGAAGAGGCAAAGGCATTTGGGATCTCAACTAACAAATTTTACATCATTATTGAGGCCATGTGAGGAAGGTTTAAGTGTTGGTAAGAGCTGGAATTGGTGGGTATTGAAAAGAGATCAGAATTCAAAACCTCATTTGTCAAGTGACAGAGGAAGCTGTTCATAATGTCCTTTAGCAAGTCTTGCATATCGGAAATACTCTTATCAGGTAATTTCTGTTTCTTAAAAGAAGTAAACATTTTTGAGAACCTAAAGTATAAATAAATTATAAGGAGGCAAATACAGGGTAGTTCGGAGCTAGCTTGTGCTCTTTTTGTATACGTACCTTAAAATAAAGTATGTATAACTGGAGCAGTCAAGCTAGGTAAAAGGATACATGAAAAAAGACATCCCTATTTCAGTAGTTGGTCAAAGAATGTGTTCATTGTAAAACAGAATACTTGTACTATGTGGCTTTTCAATTCCAGAGAGATATTACCTCCCTTAAGCACAATACTTAATATGAGTTCCAGACAAGGTGGTTTAATGATACAAACATAGGATTGTTTAGCCTTAACAGCAGCCAGTTGTAGCCAGACATCCTTTTTATGGTGGATGACAAAGCTGTGAATGCTACTGGAAATAAGTTCCTGCTTCACAAAAGAGTTTTGAGGTGAGATTATCCCTCTGGTAGGCAGCTATCCCTAAGCACTCTTTTCAAACTCATCAGTACTATTTGTATGACTGCTTATAATGGAAGCAGGGTTTTAGTCTGGCCTTAAGGTCGATATAAAGCACTGGACATGCTTATATTGAAGCATTTAAATAGTGTCACTTTGGCCAAATCTGGATAGAGTCCTAGTGAACAGTAAATTTTTGAGCAATTCTTGCTATAGACTCAAAATCTCTTATTTCCTTTGAATAATTCTGTCAGAAAAGAAGAAAAATAAACCATATTTGAACAGCAGTATTTAGATGTTAGGGAAATAACTGTCAGTTTTGAGCCAGCTGAACATTCAGGCTATGGGATCTGCTTTTATTACTTTCATCTGCTCATCTCCACATTTCTTTCACTTTAATATTTTCTTAACTAATATACTGGGAGAAAACCCCATCCAAGTACATTACTGCACAGTTTCTAGCTTTGATAACTGTCCAGTAAAATGAGGCTTTTTCCTAATATCTGTATTTTCCCCCTTCTTGCTTTGGGGACATACTTTGATCAAGCTGTATGCAGCTTTTATTGAGGAAGTGTGTATACTGGAAACAGTAGACAAAATCTTCAATGTCTGTTGTTTCATATAAGTTTATAACTTGGGCTGATGCTGATCTTTCTCCTTACTGCAACCAGTCAAGTGTCAATGCTGATGCATTCTCTGTCCTTTTAACCCCAGGAAGTGATACAGATCGATGCGATCCACCCTTTATCAAGTGTCAGGAAAATTTTGCTTGCCCTAGGGTTTCATTTCCTTTCAGCTTTATATAATGTTAACTTTACAATCGTGTTATCACAGCAGGCATCTTGCAGCCAAGGAGGCAGGCAGGCACCGGGGGTTCTGCCTTGCTGCTCGGTAACCAGCTCACAGTTCTGGTATACAGATGACAGCAAGTGGTTTCTTGTTTTAATTCTTCACATCGAATTATAGAAATCTCCTTTGCATTAACCCTAATTAAATGCATATACTTAGTGGAAAATAATGGTAGGTTACGATGTATTTTGGCTAACGCTCTCTCAGGAGACTGTTCATTCTGTTTGGGCAAAGGATGCTTTGGACTGTATCCATTTCTTTTGCAGGCATAATCACTTTTGCAGTTTTACCTTTTCTTTACCTTGCAAAAGGTAAATAGTCACAAATATTTGAATAGGAAGAAGTCCTGTCTTTTCTGCTGAAATTCCTTTCAAATGTTGTAATTCTCTATTTTTTTTAAGATGATATATGCAGACAACTGCAGCCAAGATATATTATTCATGAAGTTTCATCAAAGACTGCAGCAAGTCACAGAAGAAATTATAAATATGTAGGAAACCTAAGACTGCCAGGGTTTATATAGGCTAAATCTTGTATCTTTCAGACTGTATTTCTGATGGTTTGAGCTCCTGTACCTCCCATTTACTTCAGGTTACAGCTTAGCAGTCTTTCAAAGCAAGTCCTAGGACAGGCAATAAATCTGACCCTGGAGGGTGTGAAAAAATAGAGCACTAGGAAGTAGATCAACTTATGAATGATTCATGGAGAAAGGAGCTTGAAGGAAGTGAAGATGATGTCTAGGGAAACACGATGCAAAACATAAGAGCCTTCTGGCTACCATGGGAAATACCAAGAGATACAAGTACAAATCTAACCATGAAGGAAATGAGTAAAGGGAACAGCAGTGAAAAACGAGTGGAGAAAAAGTAAAAATGTGGAAAAGAAAGGCATTAAAAAAACCTGCAGATGTAGGTGGAACTTTGACGCATATAAAGAGTGGATAGGATATACAATCTAATGCATATATAGTCAAAAAGGCAAATAAAACTGTAGAGATATCTCTGGAGTTTAATTTATAGGTGACAGATGCATTCAGTGTTTTTGAAAAGCACAGTCTTTTGTGTTAAGAAAAGAATACAGAGCATCAGTTTTCATTGCTACCTACGTACCATTCTTCATTTAGAAATGAGAAAAAAAGACATAACTTTAATCAACTCTCTAGTGAAAAAAGGGTTATAATCACTGATGAATGAAACAGGTGATAGAGGGGATCTGTGTGAGCACAGAGCAGATGCTGAGGTTCTATTTATAATTTAGAAGAGATGTTCTTACTTATTTTGGGTATGCACGTTGCATGCAGGCATGAGGAAAGGCCAGGGCAGATGGAAGCAATTGAAGGATGAACCCTATTGCCATTTAAATGATTAGAAAATATCCGTGTTGAAGGAAGGTCCCATATTTCATGGGAGAGGAAGAACTTGTGATCATGTCTAGCATATTTGTGACTTGAAACATCCTTTTCTTTCTTTCTTTATGATGGAGTCAGAGCCTGAAAACTGTTATGCAGCAACTACCTTGTATTTAAAGGGAAGTAGCTGTGGATTATTCTCTCTGAAAGGTAGTAGGTGGCATGTTTTGAGGAACAGATTGTATAGCTCTGTTCTAAACTGAAAATGGGAAGAAGTCTGAGATAAATGACTAATATGGGGTAGAAATGAAAGGAGAAGTAAGCCAGTGAGCTTTTTGCTTTTCAAGCTGTACTGAACAGTAATGGCGCTGTTCTACAATTTCTAATTCTCAAATTTCCTTCCTGACTTCTGGAGTTCTGGCTGACTGACTTTCTGCTCTTCACTTGGTACCTACAGGTATAGTTCCTTCTCAGATGGTTTATACCTGCTTCACTGTGCCAGGTCATGATTCAGTAGCTGTAATGACTGTTTATCTTTGAGAACTGAAGTTAGCCCTTTCCGGACTGGGAAGGACCACACGAAAGACAAAGTTGTGACGATGGGAGAGAAGAAAAGGAGCCTTTTGAGAAAGAAGTTCCAAAATAAACATGTGTGCTTAGGGCATTCCTTGGTATGAAGCAGCTTTCAAAGATCATCTGGTGCTTGCAGGCCAGCACATTTTCCAAATAAGAGTTTTAAATCTAAAGCAGGCTCACAGATGGTTCTAATGAGCTGGTCTTTGAGATACTGTGACTTGCACAAAAATAGTTTAACTCCTAAGACACATTTTGAGATGGCTTCCAAGCTAAAGCACTTCCAGAATAAGTTTTCATGCATATTTTAATTTCATATACATATTTCTAGTCTCCAAGAAAGGGGGGTTTTTCAGGACCTTTCACTTTATCTACATTACAGTGCAGTGTCACAAAAGCATCCATCAGGAGCATTTTTGCACATTGACTGATGCTTCTTTCTCCAGCACTTTTCAAACCCTACAAAGAGCTGGTATTGAGTGAACAGTAATTGAAAAGGCAGAGGTTTGCTATGGAAATTTAGTTTTTAAAGTGATATAGTATTGTACCCTAATAAAAGTATTATGTATTACTGATCAGTCTCATGGATAGGACTTTCAACCTAAGAACAACATCCAAGATTGAGTTTTTAAGATTAGCGTGACTGATTACATTAGTGTAAATCACAAAATTAAGCAATGCATTTAGTAAATTAACCTTTTTTAGGATATATAACAGAAATATCTGTACATATTTTCTCCAAATCTGTCTCTGTGTGGAATTTGTGCCTAAATCCCCACAAATTTTGTATAAACACAAAAGTTAGTGAAAAAAACAAACGGCAGAGGATTTCATTCTGCCCATACTACTACCTTGTATCGTTATTAGCATCTGTATTTAACAGCTGTAAAAACAGACCTCAACAGAAGACAGGCACAGGAGGGGTTTGGTCACTTTATGTAGGTGTAAATTACAATATAAAGTTCAAAAATACTTAATTACTACACTGTGATTTGACCAGCCTGTCAGCTTCTGCAAAAGAAATGCTAGTCATGGAAGTATCATGAAATGGTTTGTAGCTTTGCAGCACAGCAAACAGTTATTAAATTGTATTGTTTAAATTATTTTGTTACAAAACAGCAAAAATTATAATCTTTTTTAGACATGGTTTGAAATGACAGCATTCTGATTTATATCATCTCAAAACTATGTTCTTTGAGTCAGTTAAGGTTTGAAACATCTTATTTCTTTATTTCATCTTAGGTCTGCCTTACGGATGGGAGGAAGCTTATACAGCAGATGGAATCAAATATTTCATCAAGTGAGTACTTCTGGGGGAAGATGGGTCAGAGTTGAAGTAAAAGCACATTAAACATATTTTAAACCTAGAATTAATGGAAAAATGAGTAAAATAACAAAAGCTGCCATCTGCTGTATTTGTATCTTTATTGCCAGTATCACTTGTTCTTTCCTGGGTTTTGTGACTTCATTGCGCAAAGGTTCCTAGAGGGTCAGTCACAAAACCAGCTGAAATTCAGTATGAAATGTGTGTCTCAAGCTTTCACATGGGTTTGAAAAACCGCCTGCAATGTTGAGAGCTTCCCCAGTTCTGTGTTAGACCCTATAATGGACCCAGGAGGTAAGGAAGAAAAATCTTGTCCCCTGAGTGGTTTACAGGTATAAATACCAGGTTTTAAAAATGCCCTTATATTTTGGAGGAGTGGAAGAATTCTTTTAGATTTTTAGAAAGTAATGCTGTAGTTTCATCTAAATCTAGTTACTCATAGGTTTTTGTGAGGTCATATCCTGCTCCATTGTGTGGAATAGGTTGTTGTGTTGCTGCAGGAGGGTGAAGGAACAGGAAAGAAAGCGTTTAGGTACATTTATCAAACAGTCAAGAGTTTTCCAACTGCCATACCATTCATGTAGAAGAAAAGTCATTATCCTCTAGTCTTTACACTTCAGATGATACATGGAAGTTTACTAACTTGAGTATCACCAAATACTGACATTTCATGGTATCACTGCTGCAGGTTAAGCAGCTTCTATTCCCTTGATCATGTCACTGAAGCTGCACCAGGTGCAAAAGCCTTCTCTCATATTCTGCATATATATTTTTTGTTCCTGATTTCTACCCTGTGAAAATGATACCTCTGGTGTCCATAGGGCTTGCTTTCTATGTTTTCACGGGACAAAGACAAAGCCATACTTTGCATAGTGGCGTATTAGGAATACTCATAATAACTAATGTGAACCTCACTGAGAGGTGCTCAGGGTGGACACTGCACCAGGGAGCAGTTGTCCAAATTACAGGCAAATGTTTTGCACCAGGAGTTACCTGGGACTTTTCAGGAGATGTTGCAAACAAATTTCTCCGAGCTCTCGGGAGGCTGGAGCAGAGGAGAGGTGCCATTGATAAGATGTTACAATCACACAGCGGCTGAAGCATAAAGAAAACCTCCACAAAAGCTTCAAAGGCAGTAATCATTTGGAGATGTGATCATCTGGGGAAAGAAAAAACAGAAAAGGGAAGCACTAAGCTTGGGCCCTTGTTACAAAGCTATTCTTGGCTTTCCTTAACGGTAAGGTTTCCGTAGTGATCACTTTTCTGACAGACTAGAAGAAAAAATGCTGTACAAATACGTTAGTTACAAAAAATGGGGGGGGGGGTGGTGTATTATATGTTATAACCAAATCCAAACTGTGGTTTCTATCCTGCTAATGTCAGCAGGATATAATAATACGCCTGCTAGATAGAGAATTGAAAGCTTTTTTACAAAGACCTGCTTGATAAAAGCTGTAGGAGTTTGTTGTAAGCTATAGGAAAGGTTTTCTTTCAGTTGTATTCTCTGATGCTGGAGGAAAGATGCATGAAAAAAGGGGTAGTTCCATTGTGTGTTCCAGAAGCTTCTGGAAGTGAATTAAACAAGTATGTTGTTGTTGTTTCAGAATATAGTGAAAAATAACTAATATAATAGGGATTTTTTATTATTCCTTTAAAAGACTAAAATAATTGGTGAAAAATATAATTCATCTCCATTGCACATATATCATGAATCATTGTTGAATGAAGAGCAAGTTATTCTTGCTGCTGAAATTGGCATATTGATTAATTCTTATAGGTGCAGGAAGCCCCTGTTTTGCAGGTGGACTTCCACAGTCTCCTCGAAGACAGGAAAGGCAGCAAATCAATTTTTGCAGGCAGATAGAATTACTTTTACCCCAAACTGTTATAAAAGTCACATAAATAGCAGTGAAGTTTATGTATGGGCGAGCCAAGAGAAGCAGGGACATTGCTTTTCCTTTATTTCAAACCCACTGCTCTGTTGTCCTCGACTCACCCCGTGGTGCCTCGAGCTAGATGTATTAAAGCAGACATGTTTTTTTCTGCAGAGGTTTCCAAGCACACGGTATATGATACTGCATTCCAGCTCTAATCAAAGGGTGGCTTTTCTTTCAGACAGATGTAGGTTACTACATGGGATTTATACCAAAATAAATTGTAGGAAAATAACTTAGGAAATGAAAGTGAATTAAAAGCCAATTTCATAGCAATGGAAATAAAAGCAAGAGCAACTATTAAAATAGAGCGCTTATTTCCTTGGTCTCCATCTGTTCGTACAGGGAGCCATTATAGGACAGTTAGAAAGGTGGATGCTGGATTCTGTTCTGGGTAAAACACTTGCAATACTGCAGGTTTATACCTGTGTAATTGGAAACTGAGATTGAAGATAGTATCATCTAGCAATAATAGCAAATATAATTTAGAGGAGGAATAGAAGAAATCTCATTTTCTTCAAACATCTCGCCTCTTTTTTTGCTTCTCATATAAGTGCTTATCTTGGTGACTCAGCAGAAAGCTGGATTTGCTGAAAATGTGCAAGAAATTTCTTCCAAAGTTCTGCATTTGGACACTGACCTATATTGCAGATGTGACAGTAAATTCAGATGAGCAACACCAGCATCTCAGCTAATGTAGATCATAGAATCATAGAATCGTTAGGGTTGGAAGGGACCTTAAGATCATGAAGTTCCAACCCCCCTGCCATGGGCAGGGACACCTCACACTAAACCATGTCACCCAAGGCTTCATCCATCCTGGCCTTGAACACTGCCAGGGATGGAGCATCCACAACCTCCCTGGGCAACCCATTCCAGTGCCTCACCACCCTCACAGTAAGAATTTCCTCCTTATATCCAACCTAAACTTCCCCTGTTTAAGTTTTAACCCGTTACCCCTTGTCCTATCACTACAGTCTCTAATGAAGAATCCCTCCCCAGCATCCCTATAGCCCCCCTTCAGACACTGGAAGGCTGCTATGAGGTCTCCATGCAGCCTTCTCTTCTCCAGGCTGAACAGCCCCAACTTTCTCAGCCTGTCTTCATACAGGAGGTGCTCCAGTCCCTGATCATCCTCGTGGCCCTTCTCTGGACTTGTTCCAACAGTTCCATGTCCTTTTTATGTTGAGTACACCAGAACCCTCATTTGTAGATGGCTTGCACGTTACCCCCACTTGCTGAAACTACAGATTTTAATTCAACACTTGACATGAAAAGGCTTTTAAAGGAGTTTTTGAGTATCTGATCTTTGCTTGTTAAGGACTCATGAATGTTCTTCCCTCTTCTTAATGTGCTCCTAGGATTTCAAATGATAGTGCCTCAGTTTTCCATCGTTACCTGTCCTATAAAGTTCTGCATGTCAGTCTTTGTGGCAGGCAAGTAAAATCTATCTGTTTTAATTGCAGAGAAGGGTATGAAGTCACCTTTCATGACCACTGCTAAAAGATTCTATTCTGAATGGAGCCACCACGCTGGTGTTAAGAGCTCTTAATGCAGTTCATTAGAATGGAATTAACTGAGCATTGTAATAAGGCATCATGGTAATTAATATTCATTTTAACTATTTAAGTATTTTGCTTTCATCACTGTTTCCTAATTACAGTGTAAGCCAGGCTGTTTGCATGCTTGAAAATTCATACCTCTTACTACACTTTGTAATGTGTATGAAGTCAGCCTGAGAACGTTAACCGTTTAGAGCAAGGAGCAGCATTGCCAAGTCTCTTGTTTCTAACACTGAATGTTAGATTTCAAGATGAAAATCTACCCAACACTGAAAGTACCCTTTTCCATGAGGAACTTTGCTTCAGGTGCATCTTAACAGCTGATCCTTTTCAGTAGGATTTAAGCTAATTGTTTAAATGGGGATTAGTGGAATAGTTGATACTTTACAACCCTGGAACTAATACTGTAACCTTCTTGTTCCCTCTGGCTGTGAAGTTTCATTCTTTGGTGTTTAGAACAGCCAAAGCCACAGGGTGCTTAAAAGTATTTCAACGCTAGTTCACTTCCATGTATACAAACAGATAGACAAACGTTATAATTCCCTAAGTGTAGCCACAAATAAACTGATCTTACATGCAAATTGTCAGTTTTCTTATTACACAGTTAGGCTGGGAGGCTTTATAGGAGCTGCAGTGGCTCTGTTTAAATCCACAGCAGTTTTACAATATGCTAAGGACAATCAAGTATTATTTTAATTAGTAGTTGCCTTCAGTTCCAACATGCTTTATTGGGCCATCAAGTAGCTGAGTCCATAAATCTGTATGTTATAAATCTAATGCAGTAAACACCCCAGAATGGAATCTTAATGGCACAGAAGCTTGAGAGAGCTTGCTGTGAAATTTCCATAAATATCTCTGAAGGGGGTGTAGCAATATGAAGTGCATGAGAAATCAGAGTTTAAAAGAAGCAAACCAGCTGGCTTGTGTTACACACTAAAGTGAAACCCACTTATGTGAATAACTGACATGAATAAAACATTTACATGGCTATATCCTAAGGAGCTGAACAGCTCTCTATACCTCCTGGGGAAAGCTGTATTTTGTCCATGCATCCTCACCTCAAGACAATCTTTGAAATCACCTCAGGAAATCATTTCAGTCTCTCAGTAAGTCGTTTTCAATCAACCAGGTTGCTAAGATCAGCCACAAGTGTGAGAAAACTACATTTTAGACTGCTGGTGTGTCAAACACATGATTCTGTGCTAGGCATTAAGGTCGTGTATAGGTTTACCATGAAATAGCAAACAGTAATGCCATCCCCTCTGAGTTACACCTCTGTATGCATTGGAAAATAAGTGAGTTCAAGTGTCTTACTAATATAACAGCAGTTATCAGAAGGACAGATATTAAGCCAGTTGACTAAAAGGTAGGGATTGGGTTCATTGCCAGTATAACTGCTTTCCTGCTGCGTAACTCTGCATTACTCTGCTGCTGGAGAGTAAAGGTTGAATTTGGCCCCAGATATGTTTTAAGATAAGCT